ATATGCATTATAGTGTATGTTCGTATGTATATATGTACACACATATATAAAATAGGGTCACAGAAGTAAAAACAGTACTTATTACATACACATAACAATCCCTTCTACCTCCCCCTCCACACATAGGCGATCCTGTTTGCACTGTGTGACCCTGGGAAAAGTCACTTAACACTGTTTGCCTCAATTTTCTTATTCATAAAATAAGCTGGAGAAGGAAATGGCAAACCACTCCAGTATCTTTGCCAAGAAAACCCCAAATGGGGTCATGAAGAGTTGGGCATGACTGAAATGACCGAACAACAAAATGAAAAAGAGAACTGTCATCAAAATCAATTAACAGTAGACACTAATAAGTATTTTGTTCAACTTAAATATACTCAGGCTTTCCAATAAGGACATCCAAAATATACTTTCATTTTTATTCTTCTGTGATCCACATAATATTTATGGACAACTGACATCAATACTTTTGCAAGAATAGTAATCTAATATTACCGGTTCAAAAATAGGACTGAAAATAATTTAAAAATTCCTAAATAACCTAAGATTGTCCTTAAGCCATTAAATTACTCTAAATATATGTTATAAAATTCTATCTCATCTGTAATATATATTTTGGGTACAAATCATCATGAGAAACGGCTTTATATAGCAGGTTAGTACTTGCCTGGTAAAGACATGACACAACTTTGGGAACCCTGCCTAGGAATAAAAATGATGACTCAAACATGAATTTCCAAGACTCAGGCAAGTCAAAATTTAAAGCAAATGTTACCTAGCAGATCTGCTTTATGTTCTAATAGCTGAACTACTAGTTATTAATTTCTTAAAATTTAATGAGCAACTAATATTTCAATACAGGTAGTCAATATCTTGCACTATCCTTATCACTGTGAGATTGTAGCTGTGAGTATTTGTTCTTGTTTGGTTTTAAGGAAGCAAACATAAAAGATCACAAAGGCACTTAGTGGCACACAGTGAATAAAGATCCTAGGTCTCCTGACCACAAACGATAAATTGACAGTATTAAGTGAAAGTGGTATTCTACATGATTTGCATAAATGATCTTTTCCTTGCTTTAAAGGAGTTGTGATTACACAGATATTGTTATTCTCTCTATCTGCAAAGAACACAATCTACCCATGACTTCACATTCAGTGCCATTCGTATCTATTTTCTCATTCCCAACATTTTTATGTACTATCAAAGTTAGGGAATAATGAATTTTAGGAGGCTAGGAAATATTCTGGATTTTCATAACAAATTTAACACTTTTAGGTCTCTGCCATGGGACTCCATAATGGAAATTACTTTGTAGTGATTACTGGGAAAAAAAAAATCTAGTAATAGCCTATTATCTATCTGGAGGCCAGACATCTGCAACCCCAACCATCCAGAATAAGCCCTTGAGCAGCAAATAAGTGAAAAAGGCCTCTGAACCTTCAACCAATTCATTATTTTGTTCAAGTGTACACTCCTCCAATGGTGTTGATTTCAACCCATCCATGCATTTCCAATCTGTTTAAGACTTGTCTCTTGTTGTAAATCCTCCTGAGGGTGTGTGCCCAAAGTGCTAGGTACTTTCTTCCTCTAGAGCTCTACCCCTAAAACTCATGGCAATGCATAAAACTCAAACCTAGCAGTCACAAACCCCTAACTATAAAACACAGGCCTGAGGCTCCTGCTGGAAAGCTTACTAATGCTTTACAATTCATAACAAGCTTTATTAGCAAAGTGGAAAGCTGGAAGTGGGTGGGTCTAGCTGCTAATAAAATCAGACACAATAAGAAATGACATTAGACAGACTGACAGGAAGGAAGATAAGAGCAAAACAAAACAAAACAGCATAGGAACAACTGTAATGCAAAATATAAAGAACACATGATCTTAATGATAACTGAGTCATCCAGAAAAGGTTAAATTAAACTTAGTATAAAAAGTCAATTTCAGAAAGGTGATATAAAATGTGCTTGAAAAAAGATGCAAAAAATGATTGAAGACATAGAAAAAATTGATGCTTGTTGGAGAAAACTTTAAGTTATTATTAGAAAGCTTAGTTATGTACAACATCTCATTCTCCAAAGATGTTGGGAAAAAATGAACAGTGAATGAATACACATTATCTATTTTTGATACTCAAGTAAACCAAACTATTGGGAAAGGTTCCCAGGTGGATGTGCCTGTCACCTGGATTATTCTGAATTAATATTAGAGCACTTGGTTTTTCTAAAATCATTTGGTGTCTGTTAGGTTGTCCCCGGGCTGACACCACAAGTAAAATTCTATGTTATTATTAACCGAACTCTAGTACTGGATTTTCTAGAACAGAGTTCCAAAATCTCTAGATGCATATATTAGTCTCCTCTAGAGGGATGTCTTCATATCATAAAACTCTCAATCAAGCTAAAAGAAGGTGGGGAAAAGTGAAGAAAAGGTGTTCTAAAAACTATACATGAAGTACAAATGCTGATAGATAATTTTCATGTAACCTCAGAATTGTTTAGATTTTTTTTTGTTGTAAACTGGGCTAAACTTCTGCAAGATACGATAAAAACTATTTAATAATATGGAAAGCTTAACTGGACATTTCTTATAGTAAACAATAAAGTATCGAGATAATATTTTCCATTGCCCCAATAGTTGAAAAGCCTGAAGACTTTCAACTGCACTTTAAGCCTGGAGCTCTACTTCTGTTTTATGAGTACGTGTATATGTATGGATACATACATACATACACGCATACATATATATATGTATGTGTGTGCATGTGTGTGTGTATATATATATATATATATATTATATATATATAAATATATATTATATATACATTTTATATATATGAAATCTTTGACATATTCTCACTTTCTCTCTCCCCTCCCCAATATCTTTTGCATATGTCTTCTTTTCTCTATTCACAAAGCTACCACCCTATTCCCCTGTCTCCATTACATTACCTCTTGTGGACTATTCCAATAACCCTTCTAATTAAGACTTCTTGTCTCACGTTTTTACCAACTCCAACTAGCTGCCAAAGAGACTTTCCTAAAATGTAGGTCTGGCTATCTCATCCATTCTCCAACTCAATATATTAACTATCCTATTACCTCTAGCATCAAACGCTTCCCTTTTACCTCTAGGATCAAAATATAAACTCCTTCATTTGGTATTTAAATATCTTGCGAACATAGCCCCTTCTTAACATTCCTGGCCTTAAACACACTATGTTGTGCATCTACACTAACTTTCCTTCTGTTCTTCCTACATAACAAGTCATTTCCTATCTCCATGCTCCATGCAATATTGGCTGCCCTCGTATTTGGAGTGTGCTTTCTCACATCATTCGATTTTTAGAATTCCTTCCTTCTGTCAAGAGTAAGCAAAAGCACCAACTCCTCCAATAGGCTCTTCCTGGTTCCCACAGCTTCTAGTGCCTTTCTCTCTAAGGCTATTATCATTGTATTCTGCATTTGTCTCATATACACCTATCTATCCATATGGTACCTTTCTTACTAGAATGTAAGCTTCTTGATTGTAGGAGCTGTTTTTGCTTTTTCATCATAACTCTAGAATGTAGCAAAGCATCTGATATAGAATAAGCCAGTTTATTAGCTGACATTCCAGTAATGTTCTTGGGTCCATGCCATGAGACTGCTTTATAATGGTATCTACTTCATGATGAAAAGAATATAATAATATCCCACTCAATGAATGGGAGGCTTCTGGAAACTTCCTTAGTGCTAGACCTACTATAGATATTTAAGACATGATATTTATTAAATATATTCTGGAAAAGAGGACGCAAAACATAATGTACATCATTTGTTTTCTGTGATCTGAAATCGGTCTTTTTAGAAAACAAAACTAACTCTAACAAAATTTTGACAAATATGAAAGAACTAATAAGAACGGTCTATAACTGATTTGGGAACAAAATAAAATAGAGCAGTCCTGCTACCATAGACCTCCCCTCCAACTTTAAGATAATGTGAATATAATTTCCTATTTCATTTGAAATATACACCTTGATTTTCCATGAACTCAGACTTTTCAAATGATAAAAGAAACTGAATACTGTGAATAGAAGTAATGCAGAAGAGAATCAAACATAACATAAAGATTTAAATTGAAAAAAATGAGGAAGTCAAAAGAAGAAAATTAAAGCATGAAGGTTTTAGCACAGGAGAACCAGGGAGCAGTCATAAACAAAAAGATGAGAAAAATATACCATAAGTTTTACAAATAAAGCAGGGCCCTTGTATATAAAACATGGTATTTCAGAATTTCGCAAATCCAGTAGCTTTTTTTAAATTTTCTGTAAAGATCTATTTCTACTGCTAAAAATTAAAAATACAGTAAACTTTAATGTGGCACTTCATTTAACCTCTGGGACTCAATCCCCTCATCCATAAAAAAGAACATTTCACATCAAAGAACAATGTAAAAGTGTAATCCTGTGCAATATTGAGACATCACAAGGATAGAGGTAATTGACAGTTATATGGACACAAAGAAAGGAGAAATACTCCACGGTAATTTTCGTATTTTCAATTATTTCAAATTATTTGATAATCTGAAATTCAATTATTTCAAATAATTTTATAATCTGTATATTTTTTGAATATATGAATTCTCATTAAAAATTTAAATTTTCAGTACATAACTATTATTAGATTGGTTTTCCAATTAAAAAGGCCCAGTTGTGGTCCCTGACCTTTATAGAAAAAAAACTAATTATATTTAAATCTCTCTAAAAATATTTAATGTTGGTAGGCAGAAATTGCATACAATTTTTTTTCTGGCTAAAATTTAAGTATCACTTCCAGAATGTTTACTATTTTATTTTTTATTTCATTGAAAACTCACCTTTTCCATTTCTGAGTAAACAATTTATCATTTCTCAGCTTTGGCTCTTCAAATATTTGTACTTTTAAGCCTTGTGTTGCTTAAGTAATGGATTTTAGATTTAAAACTTATACATTATGCATATGTTAGGCACTCACTTAAAATGAAGATCCTTGAAAGTAAAATGTGTTTCAACTATTCCTGTCGTTTTCACTCTAGTTCTGAGAACGTCCTGCTGTGTTGGGATATAATTCGGATGTGCTATTCTGTCCAAGTCATTCAGGTAGCTGGGGAAAAAATACAGTAGGTTAATCATACCGATAAAGATGGGCAAGAAAAAAAAAGAGTAAAACATTTTCTAAGTACATATTCTGAGGTGTTAGACGTTGAGAGATCAAATGTGGGCCTAAATATTTATGAAAACTTTTACTGAAATTAAATGGAATTCAAACTTTTTTTTAAGATAAAGTAAAAAAAAATACTTTATAAGTTGGAAGGAAAAGCAAAATCCAGAATAACATGTAAGTCAAATAAAAGCAACCTAAGTTTAATTTTCTCTCTAGATTTTTTTAATGTGTTCATTGGTAGAGCATCTAATAAATGCAGTATCCCCTTACCAGGATAGAAAAGCTTAGACTATGGATAGACTGGGCAATGGACTATACGTCTGCAGCCCAAAGACCAGTCCAAGTGTAGAGTGGCTTACCACAATATGTTTCATTTAATTCACTCATGAATCATTTCCTGATATAACAACTCTCAAAAAGGTTCAAAGGGACTGTATTCTGTAATAGGGGAGTATGTGCCTACACAGATGAAATGGCGAATCCTTGAATTTCTGTGCAACAAACCTAACTTTACTGGCTTTTTTTTTTTTTTGCTGTTGCTGTTGTTAAATGAATCTGCCCAAGTTTTTGTAGCTATGTATCTATACAATCTATATCACAGCCTTATGGTGCAAGCTGAGTTGGGGGAACTTTTGGCCAGAGGTTGTAGCCATTTTTCCATGAAACTTCTCCCAGACTTTGACCACCACAGCCAGGTCCTGTTTTTTTTCCTATTTTATATCTTTCCAGTCAATCAACTTTCTACCACTTATAACAAAATGGTTCACTCAAGCCAACCAGCTCTTGCTCTATCTGCCTTGGGATTCATCTGACCAGCAATGTGGTTTCCAGGGCCATGTTGTAACATGAAAGAAGCAAAGTGTTTGTTGCGTGTATTAGGATATAGGCTAGGATAACATAATACTTCTTTGAGAAATGTGACAGTTAGCTAGGAAATACCTAGCAGAAACTAGAAGATACCTAGGAAAGTAGCTGTCTTATCATTTTAACATCACTTTTGCTCACGCCATTTCACCCACAAAATGATATTCTTCCTCTTCTATTCTTTAAAACCTGCTTGAATCCCACATCTTCATAACTTTTTTTCAATCAACCCAATTTAAAGTGATCTCCCGTCCATTCTCAAGTCATCTAGCAATTGTTTTTTCTTTCCTTAGTATAGTGGAAGGAACAGTGGATATGGAGTCAGAGTTACATGACTTCCAGCAAGTCACCACCTCTCTATGGTCTGTTTCCTCATTCATTTACAAAAAGAGGGGACTGAATCATATGATCTTTACAATCCCTTCTATTTCTAGATCACTATGACTGCTAAATATGGTCACACATCTCAATGTTGACAATGAACATGTTACGTTATCATATCCCTATATTCAACAGTAAAGCCTTTTAAATCTTTTGTTTTAACTTTGTACATATTTATATAATCTTGCCATAAGGTCTTTAAAAAGAACATCTTACAATCTGTTTTCACCACAGCATCTAGCACAGTGCCTTATGCATAGCACACAGTAGGCATTTAATATATGTGATTGAACTGAATTATACTAGATGAGAGTAATTTTCAGAATATTCTCTGAATTTTATATTTTAATTCTACAAATATTTATTAAATGCCCATTATGTGCAAGGCACCATACCAGGTAAATGATAGGGACAAAAACAAACAAAAAAGCGATACAGTACACTCTACTGAGAGGATGTCACAGGTAAATGGATAAGCAAAAACATGACTTTATGGAGGGAAAGAACACTAACAAAAAAATACTTTAAATGACAAGCAAAAGAGCTTATATTTGATCCTACAGGTAGTAAGAGAACCACTAGAATTTAGTGGTAAATAGAAGTGACAAGGTCAGATCTCTGCTAAAGGAACAAATCATTTTGATGGATATGTGGAAGATGGAATGGATTGGAAAGAGACTTGAGGACACTGAAATAGACCAGGGAAGAGGTGCTGAGGGGTCTGAACTAGGGTAGCCAACAAGTGAGTGGAAAGGGGATAGATAAAAGAGATGTGATCGTAGAATCAACAAGACTAAGCAACTAACTTACAGAGAGAAAAGAGTTTAGGATAACTCAGAGAGTACAAACCTTAGTGACAAGGATGATACTGAATTGTGGAAGTAAGGAAGTGGGTTGGGGTGAGGAGGAAATAATAAGTTCTGTTTGGGACATGCAGAATTTGTTAAGATTATAGAACATCCTAGGGAGAGACTCCAAAGCTAGGCTCAGGAGACTAGGACTAGACATACAGTTCTGAGAGTCATATGCTTAAAGATCAATGAAATGATGGACTTGCTGAGCATGGAGAGATGGCTCAGAAAAATGCTTTGGGGAGGGGGAAAAAACCTACTTAGGAGACAAGACATGTAGTGATGAAGTAACAAAGGAAATGAACAAGAGGCTGACAGGTAGGAAGCAAATGAGGAAAGAAAGGGAACAAAGGACAGACTATGCAGGAGAGCGGTATAGTCAACAGCATCAAATGCTACAGGGAGTTCATGTAAGATGACTGAGAAAAAACTAATGTAACTGGTATTAACTATGAGGAAACAGCTAGGTGGCACAGTGGATAGAGTCAGGATAACCTGAGTTCAAATGTGACCTCAGAGACTTACTAGTTGTTTGACCCTGGCCGTGTCACATAACCCCATTTACCTCAGTTTCCTCATCTGTAAAATGAGCTGGAAAAGGAAATGTTAAACCATTCTAGTATCTTTCCAAAAAAAAAAATCAATGGACAGTATGCTTTGTGGGGTGACGAAGAGTCAGGCATGACTGAATAACTGAACAGTAATAACTAGGAATCTAACAAAGCAGAAGCAGTTGAGTAATGGAGTCAGAAAACAAACTATAAGAGGCTAAGAGGGGAAGGGAAATGTGGAAAAAATTGAGGCAATGAATGCAGACCGCATTTTTCAAGAGTCTGTCTATAAAAGACAGAAAAGAGATATAAAGCAATAACTTTAGGAAAGTCCCTCCCTCTCAAAAAGAAAAAAAAAAGAAAGAAAACCATAGTGAGAGTGGCCTTACCCCACAGAATAACATTGATTAGGATTGATGGTATTGGGTATCAGTAAGGATTTGTTCCAAGGTAGCTGTTAATGAGAATGCTAAAGTGAAGCTATAAAGAAACTTTCAGACAAGGCGTAAGAAAAAATGATGGTGGGCACTGGGAATAGTTTATCTTGTTACTTAATATTTGCATGGTAAAATCAGCATAGATTTATTCTACTGTGTCTGATGGTTAGATCCTTCCATATTCCTAATTTGATCTCAAGTTTCATTTCTACTTCCTTGTATATAGCACACTATATACTGAGTCAAATGTGGAGTCAAATTGTTGGCAATGAGAAGAGACTGCTACAGAAATACTGGTGAATTTGTTACTGGTCACATTATTTTATTTACTTCAAGTTTTATCTACAAATGCTCTCAGATTGTCTGACATAGTTGGGTCTCACACTGAACATCTGCAGACTTATTTTTGTTCCACTTTTCACTGTTTTATAAAGTAAAGCTACTCATAATTTTACTCTGTCCTCCTCAAAGCTGTGCAAGTGGCCTATACCTGAAAAGTGGTGCTGACCTTGTCTGCCTTGATCGCCTTTATCTAACAGATAAGTGCTTGCTGGCTGAAGGGTTACATAGTTTCTTCTGAACTTCTCCATGTGGTGATCTTTACTAAACTTTTGGGACCATGACAATCAGAATCAATATTTTAGTTTCATCAATTTCACATTTTTCAAAGTCAAGCACTTGTTTAATTAGGTCAAAGCCACAGTACTTTTTTTTTATTTCATGAAGTCTTATTTCTTGTCTTTATGCTTTTTTCCTTAATTTTTAGCAAGGAATAAAAAATAGACAACTTAAATATTGTATCAATATCCATTAAAAAAAGAAACAAACAAACAAATAAAACATACAAAGATCCTTACTGTGTTGTGCCAATCCTCTGATACGTGTGAGGATGTGGATAAGAACTGAATGAGATATTAAGGTATACCTGATAAAGTATACCTGTACCACAACTAATCTATACAAGTAGAGGAAAGGTTAACATGGAGAATCAACAGCAATGGAATATATGTGTGTGTATATATATACGTATATATGAGAATATATATGTGTATATATGTAAATTATTTCTAGCAGTTTGGGAATAGTCTTATATTCTCTGTTCTTATTTTTCTTGAATTCTTTAGTTACTAAGGATGAAGTACGCTTGAAAGCCTCCTTATTGAAATGGGAACTCCACTCAAATATTGGTTAGTTACCTATATGTAGACCTCAACTGATTTATTTCAGCTATAGTCCAGTAGAATTCAATAAAAATTCCCTCCTTTTAGCTTGAAATCTAATGATATGACATTATAAACAAGAGAGTTTTAATTTATAAAATAAAATTATTTCTATTTTATTAAAAAAAACCTAAGAATTTGAGATTATTCCTGACCAGCTAACTGAAATTAACAGATCACAGCATAGTATTAATAAAGTAAACAATGCAGTTAGGTTCTAGTTCCGTATTTAAAGGAAAGTGATATTAACAATTATATACTGAATTATAATCATCATCTTTAAAACATTAAAGAGAAGTAGCCTGTTATTTATTCTGACTCCAGGAATTTCAAAGTGAGACTCACTTGTCCAAGAAATTACCAAGGTATCTTTATCCTACGATGGTTCTCCACAAATAGGAAATTTTCTTTCCTTGGGTCTAAAGTCCTGTGTCAGTTCTGGGGACTCAATATTATATACTTTGACCTGAAATTTGCCAGGTGTCTGGCTGACTAGTCAGTGTCACCAGTGGGTATACTGGTATACACTCTTAATGATAGAGTGATAACCCTTTGGCAACATGCCCAGGCATCTGTCTCTTCCCTCTCAGTTAGCATCAGCCCCACCCCACCCTCCTGTTGGAAAAGCATTTTAAA